GCTTGACTAGCTGGCTAGAGATTTCTGGCAACTTTTCATTAGTTTCCAAAATATTCTGGAGCTGTTCGTGCTAATGGGGACTTAGCCTAAAGTGTAAAAGGTTACTCTTTCCTGTAGCTCGTTGTTTGCTGCCTGCAATTTATCGCCATTATCCATGTAATAAAAGTGACAAGATGGAGCTCTTGCTGTGAAGGCACCAGGATCCAGTTTGACCTTGAATGATGTGTTTTAATGCAGAGAGCGAAGGGGTATTAAATGAAGAAAATGTCATTGCACTAGTGCATATGAAGATACTAACTCAGCAGCTGCTGATTCTTGAGCTGCTAAGCTAGTGTTTTCAGTTTTTTTCCTTAAGTTTTATAACCTTGTATTTGATGAGAACGTACAAAGAAGTATAAACAAATATGCAGATAAAAAGAAAAGAGAACCCTCAGGAAGTTCTAAGGGAGTATGGTTTGAATACCACTGTCTTCAACTGCCTTGTTAGTATGATAATTTGCAGTAAAAAAAATTGGGAGTTGAAGCATTGAGAAAATGATGGTTGAGAAATTAACACACGACAAAAATATGTAGAATTTAGTAATTTGGGGGGACTTGGTTCTATGCTTGTAGGTAGGAATATTCCAATTTTCAAAAGTGTGGGTCAAATACTGTATCTAGGAACACTTCCCACACTAGTACTGTTTTGGACAACGCTTCTACATTCAGGTTAGACATCACCTCTGACATGTTTCCTTCTGCCCTCCCCACCAAGATTCATGGAGGTCTCCAATAAACAATAATGCTGGTGACTATGATCTATGATGGGGCAGGACAGGGCAGTGTTTCGTTCTGTTGTACATAACCGACTCAACGGCACCTAACAACCACCACGGTGATCAAACTAAGGAGACTCGCCTTCCTAAATCATGGCACATGGGATTTCTGTCCATTTGGACAGTCTAGGGGTACCTTTCATAATTCTGAAAAAGGCTGATTGATATTCGTAGCTAGAAAGCAGCTCAAACATCAGTTGTGTATCCCTTAAAACAGTCCACTGGCTTCTGAATCCTCAGGACCATTTGAGGTCTGGCTTGAATCTGATCAAGTTACTGCCAAAGAAAAAGACTTTCTGGTGAAGACTATTACCCATCTCACCCTCTTCCTCTTCTCCACCAAAAGATTTGGCCTGAACCAGACAGCTATTCTAAAGACAGCATATTCAGTAGTTAGTTACTACGGTCACTTTGACCAAATGTCTGCAATATTAACTTTCCAATAAAATTCCATCCTGGACTGGGGGAGGCTGCTATACGTCCTAACAAAAATAGTAGAGATGCCTGAATATATAATACTGATTCTTTAATCAAAGTGATGGAAACAGTAGCTGCTTAATGGTATTGAGAAAGGCAAATATCGAGACAGGGCAAATGGAACATCCAGTCCAAAAGAAATGATCAAACCCATGCATTTGTGTGTTCTGGAATCGTGTTCTCTTCCAACAGGAAATCTGACCACTTCCATAGGAGCCAGTGGGGAGGGATTCCCTCTACTTTGTAAGTCACTGATTTAGTGGCTGTTTTTTTTTAAGAGAGAACCTTAAATGTAGTTTATTTCTAATAATACACTTTTCTACTTAATACTTGAAGTCTTTAGAATTATCTCGAGTTGAAAACGTAGACAACATTTACTTTTAAGCAAAAATGTACTGTTCTAGTATCATACAACCGTCCAATTCTTTATACACCATTCTAGAATGGTTATAGAAATTTGCTGAGAAAAAATGATAACATTTGTCACTGATAATCATTTTTACATTAAGCACAATGATCACCAATGAAGATGTATGAGATGAATTACATTGAAAGCACTCTAGTTAACAAGTGACATTTTTCCTTTTCTGGGCTTTGTGAAACTTTAGAATCTGTTTATTATACTTGTGTTTTGCTTTTGAAAGTTAACTAAAGGTCAGCACGGCAATATCAAGTTGTTGGCTATGAGGAAAATGATTTCTAAAGTAATATTTGGGCTTCAGTAGTTAGCTCTGTCTTTAGGGAATACAGGTATGTGGTTATGGAGAGCACTGTACTTTGCTTCACAATAATGTTCACAGAACAGTGTGCATCATTATTTTCAACCATATTCTAGAAACCCAAATTTATGTATAATCTTTTATAAAATTATATCCTAAATAAGGTGAAATGATCACACCATCGCTCTATATTATACATCTGCTAGAAGCGACTGAAATAAGTTAGCTTGATTGACTAACACAAGTATTATAAACAGTTTTATTTTTCTCTGCAATACATAAACCTGGCTTATCTCTGCGTTTCCATCACCTGTATGAGAACTGAATATATTGCATTTGTTCGTGTAAAATGAACAGGTAACATTCCATCGGCCCTACAGCAGGCATCTGTTCCACCATTAAATAATCTTCTTTGAAACACGGTGGCCCAAGCAGGGGTTTGTATGCATTTACCCACTTCAAATCAACAGCCGCTGTAAAATTTAGCTGTGGGTGTATTTGCTCATTTAGGGATGGTTTAGGCCAAGACGTTTGGGGATTGAGATAAAAATGAATATATAAAACATCAAAAATTAGTCCAAATCCATGAATACTCTCATTCAAGTCAGGTTTACAGAATCTGGGATCTAAGATAAATAATTACTGCCTAATTTTTATAATCTGTTTTTATATCATTTTTACAGGTTCAAGGAAATTAGATAAAACACACATCAGCTGCCAGTAGATATACATACATGAGTAGGCTGGCGTGCATGAATGCATTTTACATTTCCTTTAAAGAGGGAATATACACTCATTTTGTTTTCTGTGGTTATTTCTAAATAGCAGTTCATCTTAAATAATACGTCATTTTTAAAGTCTAAAATGCCAATACTCGCAAATACATTTGTTTTGAACATAGTATAGTGAATACAGGAAGAAGCATCATTATTGTACGCTACTCAGGATTTTGCTTTTTTCTTTAGGTAGAAAAATCCTTTGAACACTCTGGGGAAATAGGATTCATTTATAGAAGAATATTTCAGGGATTTTTTTTTTTTTTTTTTTGCATTTTTCAAGGATATACATTCGTACTGATTTTTGCTTCCAAATATACTTTAAGGCTGTTTGGTAAATATATACCAGATGTGAGGCTCAATTTACAGGGTTTTGTTCTTACAGGGAATTCTTCACTACGCAGCTTTAAAAAAGTAAAACTTTGAAACTAAACATGCTTTAGTATCAACTGTGCACCCAGTGAACCCCATGCTTCATGGAATGTAGAATGCGAGGAAAAGGAAAAGCTGCATCCTTAAAGAACGCCCCCACTGGGTAAGAACCTCCTGAATGCTCTTGGTAATGGACCAGGCTGCAGAGTGAGCTGGGTCCATTGTAAAGTGCGACTCAAGGTGAGAGAAGAAAGTGCTGCAGGGTAAACGAAAAGCTGTTCCGCTTATGGCTGAGTGCACGGTATTCCTCAAAGCAGGGCCACGGAAGACATGGTAGCTTGGTGGAACCATCTGTCTTCAGTTGCCATCCTGCTTTTACCATGAGTAAAAGTGAGAACTCTAAAATTGGGATCAAATGGATAAATTTGATAGGCTCTTCTTTTGGAGACGTGTCTGAATAGCAATGCTAACTTTCTAGAAGTGGTGTTGCAATACTGATAACTGCATTGGAATTTAATTACAAAAAAAAAATGTAGAGCCTTTCCATTAAAGTAGTTCCCGTTTTTCTCTGGTGCCGATCAGAGCCATGAAAACGAATTACTTTTATTGGATTCCACAGCTGGTAATCACAACATGTGACCTTTTTGTCTTCACGTCTGCAACAAGCAAGAAGTAGATCCTTGGCTTTATCAATACTGCATAGGACCAAAGAATTCTGGAAAAATGCAAATGTAAACTACATTTCGTCTTTACCATTTAAACTGAAATATACTTACCACTCACATTCAGATTTCTTAAACTTTTTACAACATCACAACTGTCATTTTAAACAAGCAAACTGTTTTTGTTTTTTTTTTGTTTTTTTAAAGGATACCCTGGAATGTCAGCTGATAGAGCAATTTGAGACTATATATATATAAAAAAAAAAAAAATCACATATAACATAAATGGTGAGCTTAAAGAAAAAACGTATGTAATTTCTTAAGCTATAAATGAATAAACAAATGCAATGATGATTTCACAGAAGTAAGGACATTTTTTCCCCCTTTGCACTCCTGCTACAAAAGAGCTAGCCTTTTTAAGACTCCAAATTCTTTTCACCCATCACTCCCTTGTATGAGCATTCAGTTTATGTTTTGAACGTGTTGATTCTGTGCTGGACATTTTTCATGAGTTCAGACATATAATCGCCTGGGTTTTTGGAGAACCATGTAGTAGGGAATTTTGGTGGCTGGAGAGATCACTTTTCATCACCATAAACTTGAGAATACAAGCCTAATGTTTTCTATTAGTGACAAATATCGGACATGTAGGCAGATGAATCAACTGGATTCAGGGAAAAGTAGCCAGAGGTTAAAGGGAGAAATGGGTTCTTTCTTTCCTGCACTTCAAGTTGTAGCACCTTCTACTTGGGTTATCTAATGCCTCTAGTGAATGGTGAGATGTACCCATTTATAGTTATTTGTTATTCTTATCTCTAATTTTCACACAATTTATAAAAATATAAATAACAAAATGTAAGCTGGGTTCCATCTCAAGAGGTGTTTCTTGTTGTCCTCTGAGAACAAGGTGGATAAGTTAGGTCTCACCAAGCCTATCCAACATAGCTGATTGTAAGTCAGACCATCAATTAAAAAAAAGAGAAGTCATTCTTGCAATGAGCTCAGCAAACTCAGAGGAAATCCAAAGCATTCCACTGTGTTTATGGCACAAAGAACACAACAGCCAGGATGTAGTCACTGGAGAAAATGGGACAAAAATTACCAGGTAGGTGACAAACTGTACAAGCATCTTGTTAAAAAGAAAAAAAACAAAAAGGTAAAAGTTGCAGCATTCTGTCCTTAAAGTCGGGTCTGGGCCTCCGGGATGTAGATCTCAATGCTGTCAGCCCGCTCGGTGGCAGAATTCTGTCGGAAGGACGCTGCTCTCTTAGCGGCCATGAGGCGTCTTCGAGCTTCTTGACGTTGTCTGTCGGGCAGGTCAAGGGACTTTTCTCTCGTGATAGGAAATTTCCCTTTTGGGGGCTTCTTTGGTATTGGAGGGGGGACCTTTCTCTCTTCCTGAAAAGTATCAAAAGTCAAAATTGATAAATAGCGGTGACGTTTGCACACATCGTGCATATAATTAATGCCTCACACACACACAAATCGGTGGATAGAAAGAAGAGAATAACAACAGTTATTTTTATTTGTTGCTAGATTAATACTTAACCCTTATTCCTACATTTCTCCAAGTACCAGTCATCTCTGAGCTTTCGCGAACACCCGTGACGCCAAGCTCTTGAGCATCACAGGTCTTTTTGGAAGGTGCCACTTGCCATTCCTGCCATATGCTGCCGTCTTCTCCACAGACTCCAGAATGCAAATGTCATTCATGAAAGCCATCATATGTGAGTGTACCAGGTAACCTTTGGCCAGATTCTCTATGGCAGGCCTAGAATCCCTTGCCATTAACAACATATATAATGATTTTTCACTTGCTTGGTAAAAAGATGCAAATGATTATTTTTGACTGCTTATGTTCTGAAATAAATCACACCAAGATATGTGCATGCCTTTTTCAGAAAGATAAATTTCACAATTCTGCAACAGATGCAATATATAATGCTTAGAAGGTTCTGGTGAGAGGTCTGTGTCCAAAACTGTGTTGTGTTATTTAGTGTTGTTACTAAATAACCAAGTTGGATCTACCAACTGGTTCTACTTCATAATGGAGTTATGACTGGAGTGCTGCATAGTCAATGAGTTCCTTCCCACAAGAAGTTACAAGAGGGGCCAGAACCCCTTTCTTCTTCTAAACAGATGTCTGATTGTTAGAAAAAAGCACCTCTGTGTCTTTCTCCTTTTAGCCCCCACAAAAAATCCAAAGGGGGCCAGATTTGCTTGGACACTGGGGGGCAAAAAGCAGCTATGCAAGTAAAGGGTGAACAAATGTGGTAACCTTCTATTCCCAAGACTGCTGTTTTAGGTAGGAAATAAACAAGGAGAGCCAAACAGAGAGAAAACTACAGGTAGCCCCCAACTTACAACAGATTCAAGTTATGACAGCACTTAGGACTGGTTTTTTTTGGCTTACATACTGGAGAGGCAGGAAGCTCCGCCGATGTTGAAGCTGTAAATTTACATGTAATGTTTCCAACCCCCAAAGACAAATAAAGATCAACTTATAAAGATACTGATAATAAAAGGCAATAATAATGAAGACTGGAAAAAAAAAAAGAGGTATTTGAGTTACGAGACAGCCATTGGAATGCAACCCCATCGTAAGCTGGGGACTACCTGTATAATAGCTTAGGTAAAAAGGTTTCTATTAGCTGTCAATTACTGAAGAATGAAATAAGGATTATTGCATATCTTTAGATTAATTTAGTAAATGGTATTTTAGTATTCAATTTTAGTATAAAATTTTCATTTGGAATCATTACTTAGTGTTTCCTTCACTTCAAAACCCAATGACAGATTACTTGGACTTGTATATGTATCATTTGTGGCTTATGTACAACACATACATTTCTGTGTTTGCCTGCCCCCGTTATCTACAGTAAAAGTAAGGGCATTTGTCAGTTATCCACTCTGGCATCTAGCCTGGAAATCCACCTTGACGGTCAACGGAAACTTTAGGAAAAAGAGCAGATGATCATGGTCACCTATGAGGCTGTCATTCTAATTCCCAAAATATACATCCTCAGGTATATTTTAAACATCACTTCCCCGAAGTAGGCTGGATTAATCTTCTTTTAGTTTATTATGTTTGTCTAGAGAAATCAGATCATGATTACTCAGAATTTCTCTAAAATGCGTTAGGAAATCAATGTACTTATTGCTAATTCAGACCTATATATTAGCTCTGATGAAGATGATATCTTAAAGGAAGAAGTTAAATTGTAAGGTTAAAATTTAATGGACATTTTCAGTATAATTTATGGGGCAAGACTTCCAGATCTATAGGAAGTTTATATAATCAAGCTGCAGAATAAGGTTGCAAACGTCTTATCTTTAACTCCAACCATACAACTACAGAGTTTGAGTAAGAGATTGTCAGTGTAACCAGACTTAAAACTTTTCTTATGAAAAATCATTTAAATACAATCAAAACAAAGGTTTGATGAAAATAATTCAGAGGATAGGCCCCTATCAGGAACGAGATTACAGCTACAAATATACACGTATTTTTTGGCTGCTGTCTCTCTGAATTGTCTATATACAAGAAACACAGCAAGAGAGAAACGGTTATTTACTACACATGCCAGATGACTTCATTTCTACCCCAATTTATATATAATATTTATATATAAACACACACACACACACACACACACATAAAAATGAAAATTGGATCCTGTGTTGCTAACCAAAGACTAGGAAACACATTATAATTTAGTATTTGAAGTACACCATTTCTGCAGTTGGATTAGCAGGTACTAGGATGCCAGTGAATAGCGGTTCGTCCAGAAATCTCGTCGTGTGGGCATACTTACCTCCCTCTCAGGTGACTCTATTATCTTCCAGTCATGGAGCTTTAACTGGTTCAGTTCATCAAACTTCATGCTGACATCCTCAATGGAAAGCTGCAACATGTCCCAGTACCCTGCGAGGTCCTGGGAGGTAGGCCTTGGCATGGCGCTGGGATCCTGAAACACATTCAGAGTTTAGCAGCATGAAAATGTCCCACATGACAGTGAGTTTGGGAGAGGCTGCTCTTTCCCACGTATGCCTTTCAAGAAATAGTATGGCGAACAAGCATGACTAATTCAAATAATGATGCAAATATTTGAAAAAGCCCATGATGATTCAATGACAGTTCACTTCAGGACAAGTAAGGAGCCCTGGTGATGCAGTGGTTAAAGCACTCAGCTGCTTAGCAAAAGAAAGGTCAGTGGTTCGAACCAACAGCTGCTCTGTGGGAGAAAGATGTGGCAGTCTGCCTCAGTAAAGATTCTGTGGCCTTGGAAACCCTGTGAGGCAGTTCTACTCTGTCCCATACGGTTGCTATGAGTTGGAACCAACTTGACGGCAATGAGTTTTTTTGTTAGTACAAGTATTTGCTGACAGTTTAAAAATACATAATACATTTGTTTGTTGTTTCATTTTGAAAATACGTTCTTAGAATCTATGAGTGCTGGCAAACATTAAAGCTTTTAAATACTTGATGGTTTGTAAGAGCAGGAGGGCCTCTATCTCTTTGGGCACGTGTTGGATTATTCAGAAGACAGGTTCCTGCGGCGGGAATTTCCATGGGTCTGTAGTGGTCTTAAAACAACAAAAAAAAGCTATTGTCGTCAAGTTGATTCTGATTCGTGGTGACCCCATGTGCTGCAGAGTGGAATTGTGTTTTCAGTGACTCTACTCTTTACAGAAGCAGATTGATAGGCCTTTCTTCCGCAGTGCACTGGATGGGTTCATAACACCAACCTTTAGCTTAGTGGCAAGCCATTTTCACCACGTGTAGCATTTGAGTTTACAAACCCTGGATTAAGCCTGCAGATATGTTTGTGTGTGGTTCGTTTAATTCAGTGGAAGGCTATGTCAGATTGGTAACGCTTAACAGTCACAGATATTTCTGGTGAGTACATATTTGTCTGAAACTGTTTTACATGTGCAATTTTAGTTTATTAATAAAGAGTTCACATTAAAGACAACACGAACATGTATCGGTTTAGTTTAAAATTCCTTTAATCTGGTTTGTGATCTGTATCGAAATTATCTTTTTTTTTTTTTTTTGCAGAGTATTCAATTCTGCAAAAGAATTCTGCGCTTACTACATGTCCAGCACCATATGTTGGCACTGAAGGGCAGGGGAAGTAGGATGGCGTGAGAATGGAGTGGGAAGGGTTCATAAAGAACAAGACTGGAAGGAGATTACTGTCTCATTCTATCTTATATAACTGGATGACAACCTACAGTAACAGTGAAGGTCAGAGGGTAAAAATGGTTGCCTAATACACTTCTAATTGCCACAAAATCTCCTCTGTTTTCTCATTGAGCGTGAACTTCTGAGATCTGCAGTTAACGGAGCTCCTTCTGTTCCCCGGAAGCCTGTTCTCCTTCCCTTGAACCACAAGAGGGCAGCCTCTGGCTGTTCAAATATTTACGAGGCGCACCGCCTCACGGTACTGTAAATGTTTTATTTAATGAGGCACATGTTGAACGCCGGACCGGTTCTAACCCAGAGTGAAGAAAGACAACTGGGCTTTGAGTTTCTCCATTTACTTGTATCTGGTCTGAATTCAGCCTTTGATCGTGAAGAACAACGGAACAAAACATCTCGCAACTAGAGCCACATTCTCCATTGATGACAGAACGAGAAGTATAATGAGCTTAAACGGTCAAAGGAAAGGGTTAGGTTGGGTGTCAGGAAGAATTTTCTCACATCGAAAGAAATACTGTTAAAGGGGGAGAGTGCTGACATATTGCAGGGATTGCAACCAATGTCACAAAACCATTTCTGTATAAATTTTTGAATGAGAAACTAATTTGCCCTGTACATTTTCACCTAAAGCACGATTTAAAAAAAAAAAAGCCAAAAAACAAATAGCTCATAAAAAAAGAAATATTGTTAAATACTAATTTGAGTTTCTAAGGGAGGTTTTTAAAATTATGGATAACATTAC